GGGGTTGAGGTTTACCGTGTATGTGCTACTCGAGTCGCATATCTGACTACTTTGCGACACGCTCAGGTATCAATCTAACAACCCACACCAAACCGAAACTATTCACAACCCTGATGATGACCCCATGAATAATTGGAACAGTAGCCTGCAACATAGCACAATTAGGCTAGATTTATATACCTCTGGATGTGTATAAGTAGCAGAGGAGACTTGCAGGTAGTTTGCTTTTACATAGATGAAAATAGCTTTACCTTTCAATCATACAAATGCCCATTTGCTTTCTACATTCGAACTGTGACACTTGAGATCTTCTAGTTAAGCCGTCGGGCTTTTTTCCATATTTAGCTGGTCTATATTTGATTTTAAAATCGAATTCACAAAGAAATTCGCTGCAGCGTACCTGTCATCGAGAGAGTTGTTTTGTAGTCATGAAATATTCCAAATTCGGTGGTCTGTGAGCACACTTATATCTATGGAACTTTTTAGCCCTGCTTCCCAGCATTCAAATGATCTAACGATAGCAAGTAACTCTTTGTCGTAGATCTCATAGTTACATTCGGCCGGGTCAAACTTCTTGGACATAAAAGCTACAAGATATAGTATTCCTTCGTCATCTTCCTGTGATAGGACTGCAGCGGTTACGAAATCTGATGCGTCTGTTTCAAGGGAACATTTACGGTCAGGGTCGAAATGTTTAAGCACAGGGGCTTTGATGAAAGAACTTTGCATCTTTTCTAGTAAGTGCTACTAGTAGTTTTGCAATCAAAGAAAATTTATCTGCAAACCTCCTATAGAAGTTGGAAAATCCAAGAAATGCCTGTTCGTCCTTTACATCCTATGGCGGTTTCCAGTCTATAATACATTGTATCATTTGGGGGCTCACTTTTACTCCAGTTGTTGAAATAATCATTCCTAGATACTTGACTTCAGGGACTTCAAACTCGCATTTTTTAATATCGAGCTGGAGATCAGTTCCGCAAAGCGCTTCGAGTACTTGTTTGACATGTTTACGATACTCTTCTAGGCTATCTGAATTGATAAGAATGTGTAAAACTTAGAGGGGCTTCGTGTAAATGTCACGTGAATCGTCAAGAATGTAAGAGTAAAGGTATAGAATTATCTACTACTACGAGTCGAGCCTAGGACTATATTGTGTGAGTATCCCCTTGTGCGCTCCCTTGAGTATTGCCAGTAGCCAAACATCTGTGCGCGTAGATCTTACTTTCGCTTTTGGACTGGCGCGAAAACCCAGACTAACACAGGTCTGCTTACAGAATGTCATCAATATATGCAGTGCAAAAGATGTCGAGGTATGGTCATAAGATTTCGTTTACTCGAGCTTGAAAGGTTGCCGGTGCATTACATAGCCCGAAAGGCATTACTAAGCTCTCAAATAGGCCATATTTTTTGTTGAAGGCTGTTAGCAATTCTTGTCCTTCTTGCATTCGAATGCGATTGAAGGCACCAATAATGTCGAGCTTGGTGTAATTCTTTGCTCTACTTAGTTGAGACAAAATCTCTTGTATGAGAGGAAGTGGATATTTATTCTTGATCCTGATTGCGTTTAGTGCTCGGTAGTCGACGCAAAATCTGAGTCCTCCTCCCGGCTTTTTGGCGAATAGTACTAGAGAATCTGCTGGAGAAATACTTGGGCGAATAAACCCTTTTGCTAGATTTTCATCAAGGAATTTTCGTAAGACAAGTAGTTCTTTAGTCGACATTTGGTATAAAGGTCTTGATGGTGGAATAGTACATTGTTTTAGATTAATCTTATGATCGTAATCCCGATGTTCAGGTAGAATATCAGCTTCTTTGGCGTCAAATAAGTGAAGGAATTGGTGAAAATGCGAAGGAAGCCTGATTTTTGGATCAGCGAAAGGTTTTGGGTCGAGTGCGATCCGGACATCTTCGAGTGAAACTTTTGCACAGGAAACATTTTGTTTCAACATATTTCCATGTTCTTTTTTTTGCAGCTCAAGGTCAATCTCTTCAACACAAGTACTGAAAACTTCTACATCTTCTCGATCTGCTAGCAATAAAAAGGCAGCAGCGTCGACCTTCCTAGGTTTTTCGGGCGTGTCAAACTTAGATTTATTAAAAAATGCAATTCGGGGCGGGTTTTAAGCTATCGAATAGTTGGGTTTGCGATCAAAACAATATTTTTGGCAGTACACTTTGTCAAAGGTAACTTTTTTTGAAGCCCAATTGACAAAAGGGTTATGCAGTGAAAGCCAAGAGAGTCCTAAGATAAAATCATAATTTCCAAACTTTGTCACCGAAGCGTCGATTTCTTCCAAGTGGTTTTCGATCTGAAGTTTAAGTCTGACTCCATGAGTGATTAAGCCGCTAATTGATTCAGTTCCATCAGCCTTAACAATTTTTTTGGCTTATGGAGTGGGTATGTATATAGTTTGTAATTTGCGCACACGTCAATGTCAATAAGAGAAGTTGTTGTACATCAACAGTCAAGAAAAGTTTTTGTTTTAATAATTGTTCCATTAAAATCTCTAATTTTGCAAGTTAATAGCAAATTATCATGGTGCTCTTCTTCAAATGAAGATATACAAATGGTTACTTCTATATCATTGGTTATATGCTCCCGGCGGAGCCTTTTGCCGAAAGCTACACATTTTTCGCCTCTAGTAGACGAGTCAAATCTTTTCCTTTACCCTCCTCAGCAATAACTGTACTATACAAATTTTCGGTCTTTTTCTTTTTAAGATTTTGAAAAGATGCAAGACAGTCGCGTGGGATGTGCTCTCTGGAGTCACAAAAGATGCAAAGGTTATTTAACGCGTTCTAGGCGCGACGATGTGCTTTTTCGACATCATTGGTAGGCTTCCCACCCACATCTTTTGCAGTCCTCTTGTTGACTAGTTGGAGACCATTTATATGGATTGAACTCAGATCCATGGCATCGCCTCCTTGTGATGTTGTCAGCTCTATGTTTTGGGGAACTTGGAGTGGTGTGGGGGTTGATGTTATGAGATTGTACGCGTAATTAAAATGTTTTCGGCAGTTTTTTTAAAGAAATATTTAGGGTTTAAATTTCGTAATATTTAGTTTTGTTCACGCACAAGAGCAATGAAATCGTTGAGCAACTCGGGAATATCCGACTTTTTAATGTATTAAAGGCGATTGTTGATATCAGGATGGAGTTCATCCTTGAGAAAAGATATTAAAGCGCTATCATAAAATACAGACAGCCCTGAGAGCGACATGCAATGAGGAAGAAAGGTAGCAAGAGGTTTGTTCTTTTGAAAACACCCCTTCAATTATCTTTGTGCGGCGGCACTCTCGTCTACATCACCGAAAGTCTGTTCAAGGAGGCTAATAATGTCATGAACAGATTTTTAAATTATCTTACCGTCAGATTTAAAGCCACTATCAACTGTTTTTTTGCGATCGAGCCTTCGGGGAAACATGACGCAACGTAGAACATTTGTAGTCTTTCTGTGTCCCACCAATCGGCATTGACTTCGAGCTTCCTGTGCAAGTCGCGAATGAAAGGGGTTAATAGTTTATTGTCGGCGCCAGAAAATTTTGGATCCATGTAAGGTCTAGATAGTTCTCTTCTTTTGCTTATTGAGCTCATGAGCTCAGGTAGATTGAGTGCCGATATCAGTTTTTGTACACCTTTCATCTCCGCTTCATTTACCCCCATTCAGAATGTAAAAGATTAAATGTATTTAAATAGCCTGTCCTACATAGTTTTAAACTCAAATAGAATATAAATGGATAATCAATCAATCTCCGCTTCATGTTGCGTGGATAGATTGTTGTGTTCAAATTGAAGGTCGTTGAAATTAGAATCGGGTATGGCAATTTTTTCCGTGGTGTCCTTGTCGGATATTTCGAGGTCCCTGTGACATATAATGAGATTTTCTGCAATGTGGAAAGCTCGCTGGAGTTCGAGTATGGCGATAGTAGGGTTGGCTTGGATATATTTTAAAATAGGAGCGGTATCAGAGGCAGAGATTATTGTAGGGCCAATGTTCCCGAATTCTTTGCTGCAGAGGTTACCAGCAAAATTAAAAGATTCGGGTGTGGCCTCGGCCCGTCTATAGGATGCGAAATTAGGTATGGGAACGGATTGGGAGATTAAATTGTCCTTGACTTTGGGAAAGATGCGTTAACAAGTAATTTCAGCTAGGTGGTAATCAATATGTCACGAAATAAAACGATGTCCTTATTAATAGATAGGTTGATCACGAAGCTACAAGAAGTCCAAGAGGACCAAGATAGGGACTGTCCCTCACTGTCCATGAGAGTAATATTCAAAGTTAAACAGTTAGAACTTATAAAACTTAGCTAGTATCTTATTTATAGACTCTAGGAGTCCTCAATAGTCATTGACTCAGTTAGGTCTATAATTCCAATCTAATCTAATCCAAGAGGACCATTCCACTTAATGTACCTCGCTCATTTGTTTATGCTAACCACCTTAGTCAGCGAGGGTTAAACGTGACATCGTGCAGGCAAGAATTGAGTCCGTTATGCTCGCTTCTTAGCTGGATGGCGACACTACTTTGGGCCCTGGCTAGGTTACGATGGATGTTTAATGGTATATCTTTGAGGGTCATTTTCGTACTGCCTGTTAGTGCATCAGTCTCAAGGAGCTTGATACGGCGATATTTCTACAGGGTACGAAATGAGATAGTCAGTGGATTAGACATCAAACGACATTATCTGAGGCGAAGCTTCACTATGAGAAGTAGAAGAGCCACAGGAAGTAATGCGGTGCAATGGTCTTCCAAAGAAGAGATGAGGTTTAGAAGTACAAGTGTATTTATTTTCAGAAGACGTTGCGTGAGGTCTGAATATCCTAATGCTAAGCTTTCTTATATAACTAATTCCATCCAACTACCCATCATGCTTTCCATAATATCATGATTTCCATGATGTCATACTTCCTGTGATATCATACTCTTCCCAACTCGAGGATGTCAAATGCGACCTACTAAATGACGTCCTAAACATACAAGCAATTTTAGTCTGATCTAGATGACGTAATGACAAAGAGAATCACAGGATGTTACTTGACTCGAATATGAAGTCCGAAGACAGTGTATCTTCATCTCAACAATCAATAACTCATCATGATCGTTCAATCTGTGAAAATCACTAAATGTATTTGCCTCTAAGATGTATATGTCTTTCAACGCCGCCAAATTGTTTTTTTTTTAATTCATTTTGTATTCAGCTATTTAGCTATGACAATTTATCTAAAATTAACACTAAGTAATCAAACTCCCCTAAATAATCTTTCCCATCTTTGTTGTTCAATATATCTGCCCAATGTTTTTTGTTCTATTTATTCTCCCTTGTGTACACTGATACACCTGGAAGATTTTAAAAATTCTAGTAATACCTCCTTCCCCCTTTTTGTTCGAAACATTATGGGCAGTTTGAGTGGTACTATAGCTTGAAATGATGCATTTCTTTCCTTTGTAAATTTGCTACACTGAAGAATCAGATGTTGCATTGTCTGACTTCCTCCTGCACAGAAATTGCAGATATCATCCTTTGTCTTTCCAATTTGGTGTAAATATGCTTTCCCATTTCCAATACCAGTTCTTGCCTGGAAATATGAGGATTCAGTTAGTCTATTGTGACCCTGGAACTCAATAGTGTGTGTAGAGAATAACGCCAAATTGTTAATACTATTACTATCCACTTGTGCGCCTAAGGCATAGACCCAACATCAGCCCTAGCCAAATTAAGAAAATAGCCTCTGCACCGCCACATCCGGATTGTATCCAACAAATTCATAACAGTATCACTATGCATGCTGACCTTTTGTGAGTATATAAGTTTATAAGATTAGATTGTAGTTGAATTTAAATTAGAGAATAACTGTTCTTGATTTATTAAGATCTAGTTGAGTGCCGAGCACTTGCTATTTACCCTCATGTGCGGCCGCAAGTCGGCTTCTGCCCACATGAGCTTTCTCCTGTAGAGGTAGCTAACAATACAACAACTACCCAAACACAGTATCGGCACGTCGGATAGTTTATGTAGACTGAGCTGGCCAACACTAGACCTTAAGGTTGTGATGTGAGCTAGCATGACGTTAAATAATTATTAAAAAAAAAAAAAAACTACCCAAACACACGAGCCGGCAAAGAAGAATTCTTCACCTTCAAGTGGTGCCGGTGTAATCGCCCAGTATGCTCTCCATATCTAGGATAGCCAAGAAGAATCGTATCCGAATCGAAGTCAAAAGCAACCTCAAGCATATCTTCATTTGATGACTTCTCGACAATGCCTTTCTTACTATTCTCATCTTTGTCCTCAACCTCTTTCTAACCTAGCATCATCTCGCCTCGATGACCAATAAAGAAGTTGCTCTAATTGCAAACAGGAGCTTGCTCCATTAATTTCCAGCCATCTCTCACTACAAATCTACGACGCTATATATACCCGCAAGGAGAAAATTAAGTCATAATATACAAAGTACAACTGGTATAGATATCCTTGGCCTGTAGGTTAGAGGACCTGCATGTCCTACATAGTCATAGACTCGGACGGGACAATAAAAAAGACACGTGCTTAGTAATTACAGATCGACTCAGTAAAGGCGTGATTTTCGAGCAAGTCAGTTCTATGACAGCCGAGGCCACTGCTACAAAATTTTTACGGGCTATTTACCGTCACCATGGCTTACCTTAAGACAATGTCAGCGATCGAGGAACGCAATGGGTTAAGGCATTTTGGAAGAAAGTCTGCGAATTGGTAAATATCACACGATTAAGTACAGCGTTCCATCCACAAACAGACGGATCTACAGAGCGTATGAACCAAGAACTGCAACATTTCATCCGTTTCTACTGCATATATCAACAACAAGAATAGAAAGATTTATTAACTGACGCCGAACTTGCCATCAGTAATCGCTCGGCAAGCTCAACAAAGGTCAGTCCATTTTTCTGACCCATAGATTTCATTTAGAGCCTATAGAGCTTGCACAAGACCTCACACAGCCGATAGACGTAGACAACCCCGTCGCTCGAGGCGAACGCCTTGCTATGAAGCTTAAAGATGCACGCGAGTTCGCCCAAGCAGCTATTGCAGTGGCTCAACAAAATCAAGAGAAATACGCGAATTCTCATAGGTCGCCTGCGCACAGATTTAGCATTGGTGACAAATTTTGGCTTCACTTAGTAAATAGAAAGACAAGCCGACCGTCAAAGAAATTCGATTGGGTACATGCTAAGTATATAATTGTTGAAGCCATAGGTTCCCACGCTTACCGCCTAAACACACCACCGAGTATCCACCATGTATTCCACGTATCCCTTCTTCGACCAGTTTCAAATGACCCACTCCCTTCACAAGTATTATTGGGTATTCAACCACTCGCAATAATTAGTGATGAAAATCATGAAGAGTGGTATATAGAAAAAATACTTAGAGTGAGGATAAAACGTATTGGGCGAGGACAAAGGACAAAGGATGGAGGCATTAGTAAAATGGACAGGATATTTAGCACCTATATGGGAACCAGTAAGCAACTCAAAAAATACAGAGGCACTGAATCAGTACGAGAAGACATTTGGAGCAATGAATGTTCATGACAGTCCAAAAAGAAGAAAGAAGGTGAGGACTAATGTAACAGTTGTGAACTGTACTAAGGATGCGCTGGCCTAAACATACTCATCTTGATCTAGTTAGGCTCGGCTGATATTCTTCCGGCACCGGCACACAGTTTGTATGATAAATTCGTGTAAATAGAACTTTCTCTCTATAGATTAAATATAGCTCATGATTCCGACCCAACTCTATCATTCTTAGCTTTCCTCTGATAGCAATTACACGAAGGGAGCTTCCTGGGAATATCTTGGATGACAGGGAACTTAAAAGATTCACATTGCGCCTTGTTGAAACCTACTGACAGTTCATGAGGATTACAGGAGTATCAAGGCTCTTCTAGGTGATTATCGAAGAATCTGAGTTGTCAAGTCACAGATAGGACCCTATCAAAGAGGAATATTTCAGACTGTATATATAGGTAGTCATTAAGTACAGGAATTCTCTCTTCAGAGAATTATAATTAAAATATTGTACTTAAAAGATCGCCCATGCATTTTGTAATGAAACCGCGACACTAACACGCCTATAGAATGGGAATATTAACCTATCAGCATCAGAAGGTCCCGGGCATCTATATAGACCAAAGATAGTCATGACTACTGTCAAGGCCAAGTGTAACAAAGAGGAAAATGGGGAGCAGATCAAGATCTAGCTTAGGAGCCTACCCACAGGAGCGCTATGAGTCTATTTAGATGGGTCATCTAATGGTGCAGCACACTCAGCCTATGGCTAAGCCATCTACAGAGATAGGGAACTTATATCAAGCGTTGAAAAATTCCTTCCTGGTGCAGAGATTACTGGGCAGTTCAAGGTCTAGAGGCAGCATTGGAATTTGGAGGCATTACCAATATAAAGGTGCTCCTCGATGATCAAGAGGCAGCAGAAGCCCTCGTAAGCGGTAGAGCCAATTCCTCACACGTTGAAGTAAAGAATTTTACGGAACCAAGCAAAACCCAACTCTCGAAAGAGGTTTGCTGGATTCCGGACCACAGCGGCATAGTAGGAAACGAGAAAGCCGACGCAATATCAACATCCACATTTGCATCATAATCCAGGGAAGGAAGCATACCGACTTCTGAATACATTTAGGACCAAATGCGCCACGTCCTGACATTTGCGGCACTTAGGCACCAAGTGAATGGTGGCGTAAAAATAAGGCGTACAGGTTTAAAGACCTGGATCTAATGATGCGACGAAAACGCCCGCCGAAGCTAGCTCTACCCCGATTGGGCATATCACTGCCTCATTGCCGCAAGGATCAGGTGTGGTGACCTCGCCAGCTACCACAGATGGTTCCAACTCCATGTTGAAGAAATGCTTTGCAGATGTGGCCGAGAAAAGCGGCAATGACATTTTGCTGAGTGTTGCCCAAATATCCAGAAATGGAGGACGGAAACAAAGCAAACTCGTATTATATTAGATTATTACAAGTAATTATTGTTGATTATATCATGTCCCATCTAGACACATAACAACTATGTTTAGTACACCCAGGTTACTAAGCAATTCCTTTTCGCGCTAAGATTGAAGATTGTCTCTTTAACACTATCAATTTTTCAAGTACGACCTAGTACATCCTAATTGAAAGTATTACACTTCCCATTGACTATCGTCTGGCCCCATATGACCACAGAAATATGTTGGGGTTCGGAGCCGTGGGAGGTCGCAAGTACTCTATTGTTTTCCATCCACGACGCGTAAATACACGACCGTCGGGCTACTAGATCTAATTACATAAACACATTACGTGACACGATACATCTCTGCCACCAAATATATGCCCACGCCGATAATTATACTTGTTGGAGTAAAAAAATAGTGGGGCCCAACTGTATGAGGTAGTTCTTTGATAGAGACATCAGGAAAATTAGGACAAGTTTACAAGATGATGCAGAGGATGGATTCGATCTCCACAGATGCAGAATTTTGAATTTTAACCAGCAGTTTTAGAAATGGAATGGTAAAAGACAAGTCAAGCCTTCGATAGCGAGACTGCAGCTGACACCGTATTTACAAGCCATAATTGGAAGATGCAATGGTTTGCCTCCTGGTAGTGATTTGCAGTACAGTATGAATAGCCTTGCCACCTATTCAACATGGGTGTAAAGGGAATGTTCAAGCTAGCTTTCCGCACAATGAAATCTAGTATGGAGTTTTTACTCTGTTTAAAGAAAGAGATAAACGAAATACGCGATTATGCACATCGTGACCGTTACGTAAGTCACTTCTAGTTCAACTACCCAATATTTCACGTGAAAAAATTCGAATAGATCTGGAAAGCTCCGATTCTAACCAAACCAAGGCAGTAAGCCTCTGACATAGGGAAGGAGAATCTAGAGAAAATATTTCACATGGGATTAGACAATGGGTGATTGAGGAATATCTAGATAACTTAGGGGTTTTGAGACTTTCCCCTGGGTAAGTTGCACGTAAAATTGGCTGGCTTGGGATGAATAAAGAGCTACTATCACTTTGTAATGGTACTTGCAAACTTGATAGGAGGCGTGAGTGTTTTGTTTTTATATTGAGTCATCTATTATGTACTTTGTCTCTGATATTGTGTCATAGCTAGCTAGCTGCATATCGATTAGAACATGATGCAAAAGGAGAAAAGAACCCTACCAAGTAATCCTTCATAAGTGTTATTAAATATCACCTGGCTAATCTCTGTGCTCCATGGTTTCAAGACATGGTACGATTACCAGCCATTTTTTCCTTCCTCATAGTCGACAAGAAGGTCCATGATTTCCTTGTCATCGATATCCCCTTCAGCCTCGAGCATTTTTTCCTCTTTTTCTTCTATAATTATCTTTGTAGCCCTTTTTTGCCGTTTCCTAGCCTTGGTTCCCCAATCAGCGCCGCTGGCGATTCGATCATTTTGAATATCTTCTGAATCACTGTGTGTAAGGTCCACTGTGCCAGGACCCCAGAGCTGGTTATGAGACAGTTTGTCACTAGAAGTAGAAGCATCTGTATCAACAACTTTGGCGTACTGTTTTGCCTGAATTTTGGCAGCAAATTTGAGCAGGTAAGGGAGTAGGAGTAGATATCCTCCGACAATTATAACAATTCGAGTATAGTCGCGGAGGCACATTCCGTCCCACATGCCCCATACGTTGCGAACTAGATTTTCGCCACCTTGTTTGACAATTCCTGAGATGGCCGACATGCTGCAGGCGGTAATTGAGTTAATGGATGAGATGAACGGCGAATGATGGATCTTGACTCCAATTTGAACAGGCGTAGCAAAGATGACGAGATGCGATTTGTTAAGAGCTGCTTTAGTTGTAGATTACAATCATTAATTCGATAATTTCCTTTATCAGTTTACAACTTTGAAGGGCGAGAAGCAGTAGAGAGTATCAAGAATTAGGCAAGATCAAAATCGAGATGGATGAATATACGAAGATGACAAGAATGAGCGTGGAATTTTGTAGGGATAAATAGGCCTGCGAGGGGATTCAGAAGAATGCAAATGTGCACGTGCCGACATTTGTGGCCTTTAGAGGCAGGGCCGTTCGGACTGATTGCGAAGCTGGGACCTGCGACATAGATGATAATGATGATGATGATTATATTTATCGTGCCAGGCTTACACCCTTCATCCAATGGACATGACACGCATGGAGGACATCTAGAATACAAGTTCCTCCATTCTCCAGCAAAGCCCATCCGGTGCCTGACTTTTCCAAATACGTGCCTCACGCTAGTTACATCGGGTCGAATAGGTAAGAACGCATTCACCATGATCCTAAGACCATGTATTGAGGGAAAACCTAAATAATTCCTCCTGTACTCCTTCACGACGAGGAGCCGTAGTTCCCCCTTAAACAGGCCGTGTAGGAATCCAACCTAACACTTCTTGAAAGCACATCCAGCACCCGACCAACTGTGCCAACAGCCTGTTGAAAATCACATATCGTTCTTCCCAAATTCTCCCCTGCATTGCGCTCAACCCCCATTTGAGAGGGCTGAAATCCCGAAATCGAGAGCTCAAACCCGAGGCATCGGTGCCCCATCTTTTGTCGTACATTGTCCGTTGTCTGAGTGAGGTTTATTCGTTCGCATCGTCTTTGGAATGTGTCGAAAAGTTGAGACTGTTGATATCGCGGTCGAGGTGCTTGTCTAAAACGAGGCCGAGCAATTGCCCAGTCCTGCACACAATGTTAGTAAGATTGAAAGCGAAAGGAATATGACCTTTGATTTTGGAGGGTTGTTGGTGAGTCGTAAAGTCCTCCCAGTCAAACTCAATCGGGAAGTTGTTAGAAGACTGAATAGAAGAGACACAAACTTAAACTTTCGATCTATCGTGCTGGGAACGGAACCTAGCCCAGGTGTCAATCAAAATCGACTGGGCCACGCTCAGTAAGCTGCCGTTGCGAAGGATGCGATTCTTCTTGGCTATCCCACATATGCAGAGCATTCTGAGCGATTACACCGGCACCACTGGAAGGTGAAGAATTCGAATTTGCCGGCGACATAGATGATAATGATGATGATGATCTTTATTTTACGTCTAGCGAGCCACACGCTTGACGCGTGAGTGCAGCTGACACTATAAAAACAAGCAAACGATGGAAGGTGTTGTGGTCCGCCTCCTGGCGGTGCTCTCCGGTATGGTTTGAGTAGCCTGGGCACCTACTCCACTTGGGAAGGAGACATCTCAGATTACATTTCGCGCGGAGAAATGTGAACGGATGATGGAGGCATGTCTGGATAACTCAGGGTTTTTGAGACGTTCCCTTAGGTGGGTATTCACGGATGAGGGTTGACTTGGGGTGAAGAAAAAGCCACCATAACTTCGCAGTGGTACCTGCAAATGAAATCCGAGGCATGAGTGCTCCTCTTGTAAATTGAGTCATTTTTTCTGTACTTTTCTTTGATATTGTGTCATAGTTAGATAGCTGCATACGCAATTAAAATCTGATGCAAAAAAAAAAACGCTTGACGCGTTGAGGTTCCTGATGGATTAGTATGTGTGAAAAGTGAGATAAGCTTAGCTTTAAGATGGCGTAGGTTACGGTTGTCTCGTGGCTCCAATCTACCAATATGTATAGTAGAGCTTAAGACTAGATGTAACTTGGTTTTTTATTAATACAGGGTATCGTCTATATAAGTACAGTATTCCTAATCTTGCGCCCGGACTCCAACATGAACAACATTGCATAAGCATTACAATTTATTAGAGCCTCGTACTAATCTAGAGGTCTGTCAATCTTGGATCCTCAATCACTCCTCTTCTCAATTAAGAGTTGTCCTCAACTCAAGGTTTGCTTTTGATACACTTAGATTCCTACTGCGGATTTTAATTGCCTTCTATCCTGGTCTAACATTCTTTGACTTCCGTACCACAAGCTTCGTACAGGATGGCCGTCGCGAGTATATGCTGGGAAGAGATTGGATCCATTGTAACAATTTGCCATTTTGTATCCTCCAGGTGACACCAGAGAATATGTGTTACCGGAATGGCATTCAGCGATGGCCCAAGGCCCATCGTAGAAAGGTTCAAATTTATGTCTTCTTTGCCGGACTCTTAGTACCCAGTCATCGGGTGCATATATTCTTATTAATGCTTTGGACTCTTGTAAATATTCACGAGTTTTGGCCCTGGAAGCTTTCATGCTATTTACGTACGATCTAGCAGTGGGTGCAGCTTGAAAGTTAACCAATTCCTTAACCCATTCTTGTTCTTCTGTCTGTGTGGCTTCTCGGGTGTATATTGGGTATACAAGTTCTGCTTCCGGAGGTTGTGTTCCAAAGAGTAGGAAATAAGGACTGTAACCTGAAGGTGATATACGGCGATTGTATATAGTTACCGCGCGTGATAGTGATCTATCTAGTGGTCCCTTGGGATTATCAAGAATTTCACGAGCCAGTATTCCCTTGAGAACACCATTGGCTTGTTCTACCTTTCTGTCGGTATATCACGGGTATTAAATGTGCTAGCACAATAGGTTCTGAATTCCGAGGGGTTAGTTGTTTTTCTCTATTCTCTATCTAAGCTATCTAGTGAGTTACCCTATGTAGATGCCAAGGCGCTAGTGCAACCAATACGCGTATATGAGGGCCTACACTTCAGACCAATCAGAGGGATCCAAACACTACTGCTACTTAGTGGGTGATATGATTGTCTCTAAATAACCATATTTTCCGACATTCGCAACTCTCTAAAAGAGACAATCATTCCTACTTATGAGACTGAATTAAAATAGTAGATTTTTTTTTTTTTTTCAAAGTTAAGTGTAATTGCTTCTGAAGTTTAGTCCGGTAGCTTTCTCACCTTCTCCTATCCACCCATCCTTGTAATCTACATTCTAGTTTTTTTGTTTCGAAAAGTCGTTGTAAAGCTGTTGTAGGCTTGTATTTAGTCATAGAGTCCGCTGGATTGTCTTTCCCGTGGATCCAGCGGATCTCGGCCAATTCTCTACGCTCATAAGACTCACGGACGGCCATAATATCAATCATGAGGCGTTTTTCTTTGGTGGTGCCGAGTTTCACGAGGCATTTGTATAGACTGAAACTATCGGTGCAGATGATAAGGGGTACTGTGGGTAGACCGAGCTGGGCAACTATCTGATTGAGGGTCGTGCAAAGTGGGATAGCAATATCTATGCCTTGAGTCATAGCATAGAGTTCGGAAGCAAGCACTGAACGTGTGACTCGCTTGCACTTCGTAGAACTCCAATGAATTAAATTGCCATGGAATGTGAAGGCGTTCCTACCGCGCGTTTCATTTCCAAGAGCTATTACAAAACCAATTTGTGATGTTAGATCTTTGTTATTAGCAAGGGATCCGTCCACCCAAGCATATAAAGCCAGACCATCGTCCAGATTTAAATCTACATATCTCAATCCGGCACTGGGATTATTCTTTTGAGTTTGAAGGGCAATATTTAAATCCTTTATTTCTTCGTTCCCTGGTTCCTGGAATTGTGCCGCTTGAGAGAGCTTAAACGTAACGAGCGGTTGACAAAAAGAGGCGAGCCATGCTCCAAGTGATCGCATTTTCTTGTAGGTCATGAATCGGCCGGAATCTTTGGGGTCAATGAGGTCGATTTTGTTTCCTTGACCATTTGGTTGAATAAGTAGAGTGTCGTCCTTCAGGGATATAATAAGGCCATTGAAATGTAGGGATTCGTTCTCCGTAAGGCGACTTATATCCTTAGCTTTAAGTTTGGCTTCTTTAAGTTTGGCATCTTCAAGCTTGACAAAATCTTCTGTTCCAATAAAAAGTGTGTCATCTACTTGCATTCCAGTGACACCAAATTCGTTTCCATTGGATGTAATTAGCAAGCATGGATCAAAGCATGAGGGTTTCATGTTGAGCATTTCCTTCAGATGCTTGAAGTAGGTACCAAACCAGTGGTTACCAGCCTCTGGTATACCATATAGCGGCTTGAGAATTCGCATGATAATCCCTCGATCTAAATTTAAAGCTCTGACGACTTCTGGAGCAGGCCGATAGAGAATATCTCTTGTTAGAGAGGTCTTGGATTGCGTGTAAGCTTGCGAGATATCTCGAAGAAATACGACGTGATTAAACTTTCTTATTAGGGGAATAGCAAGTGCTAGAATTAGTCGCACACTTGCTCGCTGCACAGTTGGAGATTGTGTCAATATCATGTATTTATCTTTGTCGTTGTACGCTTGAACAACTAGCCTTGATTTCTCAAATGGGGCAATAGTCGTTTTACCCTTGATAGTATTAACCATTCTCGAGTTAAAGATTTGCTTGTCGACCATGCTTTCATCAAACTGCTTAAATTCGAAAACACCACATTTCATCAGGCCTTCAATTTCCTGTTTTGTTGACGCCTCAAAAGGTTCACCAGGAGTGCGGATTAAACCTGCTGCCCTGAGATTCATCGAAAGTTTTAAGGCTTCCTGCTCTTGTGGAGACATAAAAACTTGAGATGAATCATTCTCTGTCCCTGTATATTTACAGCACTGGTATTTAAATTGGTGGCGTCCATTAAACCGTCCTTCTCTCTGACTTCGACGAAGTAGCGGTGTATGGAGTTGCGCATTAGGAAGAGATCGGGGCTGATTTGTTAGTTGAATATCAAGACTTTGATTGGATAAATCGCACTGTAGCTTCTGATCGTCCTGTTTTGTATCTCGATGTTGGCAGAGATTGTTCGGATCATCATCCTTATCAAACCATTTACC